CTCTGGGGCCCTCACTCATCCTGGGTCCCACACACTCAGTGCTAGCGGTAGTTGCCGGTGGCAGCCAGAGGGAGAGGAGAATGCATGGGGCACCTACAATCGGAGGAAGAGGGAGTAGAACGACGCAAGGAGTAGTGGCCGGCCGGCGAGATGGGGGAGACGACATGGAGCAGCATGGAGCCGCGCACCTGAGCGCCTGTGACTGAGAGCGGTGATGTGAATGCAGCGTGGAGCCTCGATGGGCACTAGCAGGGTGTGGTGAAGCTGATGAGCGACGCGGCGTGTGTCCCTCGTTGCAGCCTCGCATGATTTTTTTTTCATATGAGCGTCACACTAATGCACTATGGTGAGCCGCTGCTGTTGGGAACGATACGTTCGTTGTGGATTTGTTGAGATGGGTTAGGGTTTACTTTGTGTTTTAATTTTATCTTCTCTAATGGGTTGCACAAGATATACTTGCTAGGCTTTTTATGGCTACTACGTATGGGTTGTTTCCGATGGGCTTTAGACTGCTAGTGGACAACATTATTTCTAGGGTTAATTTGATCCATGCCATTGCAAAGTTGTCATATTGCAAAAATACCATTACTATTCGTGAAATCTTCTACATGCCACTGAAATTTTGTAAAATTCGAACCGTTCGATTGTCGTCAACATTTTTGTCAACATCTCCGTCTTAGCGCAAAAAAAAATATCCAAATTGTCCTTTCTTTTCACATCCTCATTCTCTCTCCTTTGTTCTTCTCCAACTCCGGCGTGAATAGCACGAAGTGGCCGGCAGCTACGGCAGGTTCTGAATGCTATGAGGGGAGTAGTTTAATTCGGGAGCGTTTTCTTTCTTAATTCGCAGCTAATCTTGCAAGTGGTCGCCTGGCCTTGTAGAGTGCAGTTGATAAGATGGACGAAAGAAATAAAGGCATGGCCTATGAGCTCAGTTTGCCGGCTGAGCTAGTCAAAGCGATTCTTTGTTGTTTTCTTTTGCACCACTACCACTACCAACCTGCTACTAATAGAGAACATCATCGCACGTTAGATCTGACTAAATAGAGGCCAAGGACATCTCGCCGTTCGTCATCGCTCCGGCCACTCCCACCGCCACACCAGCACCTACCCTAGCTCCCGCACTACTTCTAAAGGCCCTGCCAATATGATAGGCATGGGTGCTGATGGGCAGGAGTGGTCTGGCTCCTCTGTGAGGACGACCCTAAGCCTCTGTCGAGGCCTAGCTCCTCCCAACTTTTCTGCCGATGCCATTGGTGGCCATCACGACTCCACGAACTGGTAGCAACGGGAAGGATAGCACCGCCGTCTCCTTGCTTCTCTACCTATGCCATCGGTGGACACCACTAGCAGGTGGGGAAAGAAGAGACTTGGACGGGGTGCTCATAGAAATCTTGATGGCAATGGAACATTTCAAATTTTATAAAATTTTAGTGGCACATAGAAGATTTCATGAATCATAATGGTATTTTTTCAATAGGGCAAATTCGAAGTGGCATGGATCAAATTAACCCTTGTTTCTATACTTCCGGGCCCCTATGTATGACCAGCGGGTGAAGAAGCTGACTCGGCCCTAGCCACGCACGAAGTCGGGGCCCCGCCCCTACTCACCCGTGGGTGAAAATTCTCCCCCACTCTTGGTCCCATAGGGGCAGGTCCTCGCCGGATCCCCGGCCCCAACAGGGCAAATGCCACCCCTAGATGAGCTAAGGGCGGATGAAATAGAAAGGATGAGGGAAAATGCCACCCCTAGATGAGCTAAGGGCGGATAAAATAGAAAGGATGAGGGAGAATGAGAGGGATGGAGACCATGGCTGGGCACCGACTCCAGGCACTAGCAGCGCAACAGGAACGATGACCGCAACAAGGTGTGAAGGCGACGAGGAGTCGAATGAGAGGAAGTTGGGAAAGAGCGAGAACTCGAGAAGACAACAATGGTTCGGTCATCGGTCTCCAGGGTTGGGCCGGTGTGGCCAGAAGTGTGTGCCCATGGTGCATATGCGTGAATAAGCATTCTAGTGTTGTGTTTACCCTCAAATTTGTACCCCGATAAACTCTAGTGTGCACCTTCTCTTTCTTATAATGATAGCTAGCAAGGACTTGCTAATGGCTTTACCACACTAGGGTTATAGGGATGGAACGGGAGGGTGGTAGGGTTGGTAGAGACGATGGGTTTAGAGAGGTATTGCTAAGGCCTAAGTAGCAGCAAGGAAAGGAAATGATGGTACCATATCCAAGTCATATGCTAAAGAAAGACAATAGGACAATACCAAGTGACGAGAGTAACTTATGACAGGCAGCAATGGCATATCTAGTGCCAAAACCATTGGAGATGGAAAAGGAGATAAAGGAAAATTAATACGATAAAATCGGCAATGATACGTAGAAAGAGGAGGAGGAGGGGGAGGGAAGCGATAGTCAGGAGGACAGGAGAGGGTAATGATGACAAACCGATGAGAAGCATTGGCAACAAGAATGGCTTGAAAATTCCCTATTTACTGTGTAACTTTTCCCCTCGCACTTGTGTCACCCCCATGTGGGCCCTAGCCGCCTCTAGTGCCCCCAACTCATCCACCTCTGGCCTCGCCACCACCAGAGCAAGCCGTTAGTAAGTTGCGTCGTGAGCTATGAAGGAAGTAGGGGGGAAAACCCTAGAGGCGTGGGCTAGAATGTGGTGCAATGCTTGGGGGGTATAGATGAAGCTAGTGCGACGTGGCAGATAGGGTGGCACAGATAGAGGTTGTGCACTGGTGGAGGTTGTGGCAATGAGGATCTAGCCAATGCAACTGGTTTGGGACACCGGGAGAGCGAACTTGGTGATGGTCAGATCCACTGTGTGGCAGTGCATGGCCAAGGTGCCATGATATGACGAGAGGGTGGCGATGATGCGGGCTAGAGGTATCGTAACTGATGATGGCACACAGGGAGGTGGCGATGACTACGTGTAGTTGGACCCTCCCAGCATGGTGGTGCGACTCACCCCTTCTTGTCTTGGTGAGATTGGCTGGCAAGCCATTGTAGCACGGGAGCCAAGAGGCGCAAGCCTTGACCTAGGAGGTGGGCGGGCGGGCGATGGCATGGGACAACACAATAAGAGGCAACAACATCATGGGGTGATGATGAAGCGATTAGTTTGCCTAAGGCGGCAACAACGTGGGAAGTGAGTTTGGCGTAGGGTGGCTTGCAAATGTCAAGCCCTACCTAATGGTCAGTTGGCAGCGTGGCGTTGGCACGATGGTTCCACGCTAAAGGTGCTTTGACATGAGAGGGTAGAAGGTTTATGGCAAAAGTCTAGCCTATTCGAGGCTAACAATGGCGACACTTATGGACGTTGTAACTTTGGTGAGGGCATCACACCTCTGGATACATATGAGGGGGGGGATCAGGAAGCACTTGGAGATGCTAGAAGATGGAGGCCAAATTCATATCAAGTTAGAGTCAACCCGAAATCCAGGACCAGCCCACACTAAATCATTGCCCAGAGCTCATCCGAACTCTTTTTTTGACATTTTACATATGTATTGAAAGCTAACGGGACTACCTTCCTAAAGGGTCTGGTCTCACGGCAAAAACATCTTCTAAGTCAATGGGAAATGTTGAACAAGAGAGCCTCCAAAATCTATCCGGGTGTTGCGCCATTGTCTTTAAACCCATTGGGCCATGTATTGTGTTGGAGTCCATTTGGGACGCATCCAGGGGTCATCGGTCGATCCTAGAACATATTTATTCAGTAGCCATCGTCGAACTAGGGTTGGGTTTTGCTTCGATTATTCTGCCATTTGTGACATTCATCTTATATCCGCAATATATTCAGATCGTATCTTCTACTCTCTTGCTTGTGTTCCCGATTTGCTTATAGGAGATAACCTTATCGGCGAGGTTAACCGTGTTTCAACTCAGGTGATAGCCAATGGAGGAGTGGTGCAGTAATTGTGAGGGGTTCGATCTATATGGTCGGAGCCTTGGGATCATCAATGTTGAGGCTCCACAATCGACTTATCCAATACCAATAGGAAGATCGCGACCTACTTCTTCATCAAACCCTACTAGGACATTGTTGTGTAATCTCTCTTTCTATTTCTGGTGGATCTCTTCAAGTGAAAACCACGTCTTAGTTTCAAGACGAACGATGGTGGCTTTCTTGGTGTTGTAACATTCCTGAATGCGTCATTTCAAAAGATCCATTCCCTTTCAAACCTCTCAATGCTGGTGTCTCTTTTGGTGTCGGTGAGCCACTACAAGATGACCATGTTGATGGGCTGGTTAGGGGGGGAGTGGTTTCATCTTCTCATGCACCCTCTTCCTCTCCAGCCTAAAGACGTGGACGGAGTTGGGTGTTTCAGGTATCGGGTTTGTTTTTGCTCCTTAGCAACGTGTAGTATCTAATAGTAGAACATTGTTTCCAACTAGAGACAACCTAAACGCAGGCTGGTCGTTGGTTGCTGGAGAAATCGGTGTGCATGCGCGCTGGAATAAAGGCGGTTGGCCAATTGGCAATTAGCCAGACCTATACGTGCACAAATGTTAATCAATTCTAGTACCACTACCAGCTAGTATATGACATACCACCATGCACTATATATTTTCAGAGATTCAGATAACAGGCGCACGCGGGGTGTATGTATGTATTTATAATTGGCCCCTCTTGCCATTGCAAAATGTATGCATATATATATAATTACGATAATCAATTAATATCCATATCATGACCGTAAACAATGAAACTTGGGTCTTGATAAGCTGATGATCTTTAATTAACATTATCGACACAATTAGATGATTGTTAGCACATCCTAACTTCTGTAGGTATTGTGATCGACGACCTAACAACTCTTCTTCACGCCCTGCACGTCTTAGACACAGCAGTGTTAAGGAGAAGTTGAGTTAATTAATTTATTAGTCAGTGTTTTAGCATAATTTAAATGTTTCTAGCATAACTAATTGTCTAATTTGCGCGCGCACTTGCATATAAGTGTGCGCCTACCGGCGCTAAAAAGCCAGAGATCACTCCAGCCACTACCTTCTTCTGCTAGCTTCTTCTCAATTCCTTCAATTCTTACTTTAGCTATAGCTAGCTAGCTGGGACAATGGCCGGGAGGAGGCTACCGGCGTTCTGCCGCGGCGGCCGGACGGTGGCGGTGGCCGCGGCGACGACGACGACGAGGGTGAGGAAGCGCGTGCAGCGGGTGGCGGCCGCCTACCACGCTGCCTCCAAGCTGCCGCCGCCACCGGCGGTGGCGACGAAGGCGAGCTTGGGCGGCGGTTGCGCTGACGCGCCATGCGCGGGAGGGTGGTGCCACTCGTACGGCGACGGCGCCGCCGCCGCCGCCGTCGCTGGCGCCGGCGGCGGTGGCGGTGGCGGCAAGAAGGACGGTGGCGGGAGGCGGGTGATGGTGGTGGCGGACGGGCGCGCGGAGGCGGCCGGCGCGCTGCAGTGGGCGCTGTCGCAGGCCGTCAGGCGCAACGACGCAGTCCTCCTGCTCGCCGTCGTCAGGCCGGCGGCGAACGCGTCGTCAGACGGCGGCGGCGGCGGCGGCGAGTCGTCCTGCGTGAACATATCGAGGACGAGGTGCTACCAGCAGCTGGACGCCATGAGGAGCATGTGTGAATCAGCCAGACCAGAGGTAATTAATTAACAAACACATCAACTTCTTAGTTAACTTGTGTAATTTAAATCTCCTTGGGTTCATTCGTGCTATGCTTAAATGATTTGACTGTTCAATTAGACCCCCTTTTTAAAATGCCAGAATACATTTTCTACAGTAAGTTGTCCTCTAAAAATATGTTACAGCAAAGTTTGAGAGGTTGAGTATACTCCTATTTGACAAGAAACAGTGATCCCAACATGTAATTAGAAGTCAAAGATGCAATTAAATCGTCTCTCCAGTTCAGCCACGTGTTGATTGGACGGCTTACGTTGCGGCCATAAGTAGTTCAGTCGATTATCTACTAACCATTAGCATTACAATAAAAGTTTTTTAAAAAAAATAAAAAGAAAACAAAGCTTTATAGCCTTATAGGCAGTGATCCACTTAGCACATTTCGCGGAATGGAGGCGTCAAAAGCTATTCTAGCTAAGCATGCAGCCTCCGGATCCGGATATTTGCTTCATCGTCCTCCATCCCTTTCAAAGCAAAGAATATTCTAAACTTAATTTTTTTCAGAGTTTCAATTCAATAAAATAATATTCAGAATTTCAAAAGGACTTATATATTTTTCATAATTTTTGTACACTTCAAATTTTACTAGAAATATAAGAAATTCTACTAGTATTTGCTAATTAAGTGGCGTTGTGCATGTGTGTAGGTGAAGGTGAAGGTGTGCGTGATGGAGGCGGCCGGCCGGGAGCGCGCGCCGGCGGTGGTGGAGGCGGCGAGGCGCCACGGCGCGTCGCTGCTCGTGCTGGGCCAGCGGCGGCGGCGGCGGGCGGCGGTCGCGCGGTGGCTGCAGCTGGCGCTCTGGCCGGCGGTGGCGGCGGCGGCGGCGAAGAGCAAGTACTGGCGGCGGAGGGGCGCGCGGAGGTCGACGACGACGGTGGAGTACTGCATCGAGCACGCGCCGTGCGTGGCGCTGGGCGTGCGGCGGCGGAGCTCCGGCGGCTACCTCGTCTCCAGCAAGCGCCACAAGGACTTCTGGCTCCTCGCTTAATTAATTAATTTAATTTAATTAATTACTAGTGCTTTGTACTAGCTAATTGCTGCGTAGACTGGTCAATTTGATTCACATGATGCTGGATAAGGAAGATGTTATTTACGGGTGGTTTCATATCCTCTATAGTAATGGGACCCTGATATGCGAGGTACTAGAAGGTGGAACTCACATATCAGTAACTGTAATGGCAGTAATATTATGGTAGAGGATCCTCGCCTTCACGGTGGGGTTAAAGCGCACTAAAAGTCGGGGAGTATGCTGTAATGTATAAGTGATTGGCATACCAAATATCAGACGGTTAAACTACAAACCAAAAATATGACACGATAAAACCCTGCTCGTTGTTGCGAGAGTTAACTATGATAACAACAAGAAAAAAAAATGTGTAAGATAGTTTAAACAATATAAACTTACATAAACATAAGTTTACATAAGTTGATGTGATTTAAATTCAAATAGTATGTATACATAAGTTGATGTGATTTAAATTCAAATAGTATGTAGAGTGATGATTTAAATGTAAAAGAAAAATAATGTGTCTTTGTGATAGAACACAAGAAGGAAGATAATTTAGACCATATGAGGGAAGAAAAAAAAAGATAATTTGAACCATGGATTAATCATCTAAGGACTAAAAATATTGATGTGATATGACTTAACAAGAGAAAAAAAAATAGCATGAACTAAGTGAGAATGAACTACTCACTCCGTTTCACAATGTAAGTCATTATAGCATTTCTTACATTCATATTGACGTTAATGAATATATATATATATATATGTGTAGATTCATTAACGTCAATATGAATGTGGAAAATGTTAGAATGATTTACGTTGTGAAACGGAGGAAGTATATAGGTATATAGGATATAAAAAAATAATGGAGATATATTGATATATTATGTGAATTTAACATGTTTATATTTAAATCTCTAAAATTTAATAAATTATTAAATTATAGATAATATATCATGCTTGCATGATACTTAAATGTAATAATTACTAGAAAAAATATCCGTGCGTTCAACTGGTGAAGGATATTTTAATCTTATTATTATTGTTATACTGTTTAATTAAAGTGAAATTTAATGTGGGATGAATTCGTTTGGATATATATATATATATATATATATATATATATATATATATATATATTAGAAAATCATGAGTTGCAGTTATGATCGTCTCAAGGTAGCATGCGAGTTTTTTTTAAAGTGATTTCTTATACAACTCTTTTTGTATTTTCAAAAGTGAACAAACTTCAAAACCGATTCAAATATGGATATGTATTTCCAAAACCGAACGGACTTAAAATCGACTCATACACAGATGATTACCAAAGTATCGGTAAAAACATCTTTAATTTTTATAATAGTAAAGATTAGTGGATGATGATGTGTCATCTTTATAAATGTGACTTTATAGTAAGAGATGATTAGTCATGTACCTGTTACGTAGAGTAGCGTAGTTGAACGTTCTAAACATGAAGTTTTACATATTTGCATGGGAAAAAATGATAATCATTATTTTCAAAATTTACCTGGCAAAGTTTTTGGATAATAATCAAAAGATATTTTTTAATTTTTAGAACTTGATTTTAGGATTGATGGGAAAGGCTCGAGGCTTTGCAACCTACCTGGTCTTAGGCTTAATTTCAGCGGTGTAGGCATCTCCTGGACTTCGCACATTGCCGGATTTGCTACTAACTTCTATCAACATATGTAAAATTTGATCAATCGCTGTAAGACGCTAATAGTTGTATGGACCTTAGATATGAGTGATATTGTGATCTAAGTTAAACCATATAGAATTTGACACATGAGAGGGTTCAAGCATATCTCACCATAACAAGCGGCCGGACAGTGACACAGACCAGGCAAATGAATAGAATAGTTCAAAATGATAAATATTATGGGGATTAATTGATACGATTCTATTACAACCATACCATACGATGCCTTAAAAACTTTCAACTCTATTTTATTTTTTTAAATCAACTCAATTTTGAATTCTTCTAACTCGGATTTTGAAGCTTTCAGCTCAAATTTTGAAACTTTCAACTCAAAATTTAAAACTTTTAACTTAGATTTGAAAACTTTCAACTCAAAATCTAAAACTTTCAACTTAAGCTATGAATACTTTCAACTAATAATTTTAAATTTTTAACTTGATTTTCTTATATATTACTCCCTCCGTTTCAGGTTATAAGACGTTTTAACTTTGGTTAAAGTCAAACTGTTTCAAATTTGACCAAGTTTATAGACAAATATAGTAATATTTATAATACTAAATTAGTTTCATCAAATCAATAGTTGCATATATTTTCATAATAAATTTGTCTTGGGTTGAAAATGTTACTATTTTTCTCTACAAACTTAGTCAAAGTTAAAGTAGTTTGACTTTGACCAAAGTCAAAACATCTTATAACCAAAAACGGAGGGAATACTTTATTACGAAAAATGATTCAAAACCATAATTAATGTTAAACGCTATTAACGCTAAGCGCGTAACTAGGCCCGCGTGGGCACGTGATGTGCGCACCAGGTCGCCTCCTGCTGCAGACGCGCTGTGTCAGAGGGTGAATTCCTCAAGTGGGGGATAGTAAGGCCCCCTTGTTAGTTCGGCTGGGGGCAGCGGGTGAGAATCGAGGACTCGGTGGAAGGTGTGATGTAGAGGGGGTCGGGCCCCTCAAGAACGATGAGACAAGAGCGGTCTATACAGGTTCGGACCGCTGAGAAGCGTAACACTCTACTCCCAGGGGCGAAGCCAGGATTTATAGCTAGGGGGTGTGGGCAGGGTGAACAAGTCATAAGTCAAGGTAAGTAATACCGACGATAAAACAATACACAATGTATTCTGCCATAAAAAAGCTTGAATTTAGCTTTTTAGTTGTATCATTAGATGTTTGACAGTTTGAGACTTGAGACACCATGCTCAATAACGAGACGCAATGGGAGGACAGAGAGACGTGTGAAGCCGAAGCAATGATGACGAGGAGTTGATTTGCATCGTCTCTCCGTCTCTTTCTTATTAATTGATTTTCTATACCATGTTTATTAATAATGGACTAATTAACATGCTAATGCGCTAGTTAGTACAATAAGCATGGGGTCGGATAGGGGGGTGTTGGCCCCCTTCGGCACCCCTTGTAGCTGTGCCCCTGCCTACTCACGTGCTTGGTTGATCGAGTATGGAATACAACCCTTGAATCTCTGAGACACTAGTGTGAGTTAGCCAAAGAATCTTTCTCTTTCTCTCCCTCCCTCACGAGGCCTGGACCTCCTTTTATATCTCAAGGGGCTGCCACATGGGCCCAAAAGTCTACCTAGGGATGAGGGAGGACATTCTCTACATTAAATGCATGTCTTGTCGCTTAACTTGGAAGCCATAAGCACGGGCGCCATGGCATGGGGCCCATCAAATCGCACCGGCTGACACGGGGGACGCCTGCGTCATTTACCATTTAATAGATGAAGACTTCTGGGTCCTCATGCGCGCCGGGAAACGGAAACCCCGCGTTGACCAGGTCAGACGAACTGACTCCGGCTAGGATGAGAGACTAAAAAACCTTTGATCATCATGACATTACGGGGCATGTTAGGTGGCACGCCGCCTGACATGTGACCAGTGCGCAGGCGCACTATCTCGGTACTATTGGTCACTCGACTGGTCATAGACCAGTCAGGCGCATAGCACGTCGCATTAAGTGCGGCATGGCGCGCCCGCTCAGGTCGCCTTAAATGCGGTTAGGTAGGCGTTGGGACCGCCCACCTAACTCCGTACACGTGGTGTCCTGCAGAGGGGGTCGGGGCCCGACCCCTAGGCATGGAGGGGGCGGCCACTGCTCTACCCCGGGCCCGACCCCCCTCGAGGGAGTTGTTGATGCGAAAAACACACACTGGCCTGGAAGATCTGCTTAACTTCAGTGCAGGTCCAAAATCTTACTTTTAGGTTCGTGAGCATGCCGGTTGATTTGATCCTGCAATCAACAAGAAACAAAGACAAGAAAAACCATGGTTAAATCTATAAACGATAGCTGATCGGCCAGCCGCCGATGACATATCATTTATTTTCAAGCCGATGTCATATGTGAATCGATCAGTAGTTGTAAACAAGCAAGATATGACTAAATCTGCTCGATCGGCTGTAGATATTAACGATATACAATCCTTCTATCGATGTATATTTAAACCAAGTGATTGGGATAGATCAGTCATCATGCCGAGACAGTATAAATCACTTAGATCAAAATATACATTAACATGAGGACTATAAATGTTTATAGCATAGCCGATCAGATAGATCTAGCATGTATCGGCTAATACTCCGATACCACTTTATATTAAGATATTAAAACATATATAATATATCAAACAGGAGCCTAATATACTTTATTGCGAATAAGATCTTAATATAAAGGGCAGATCTAGCATATCAATTAAGCATATAAGATATAGAATAGCTAAATCAGGTAAGATCGGCTGAAACCCCGATACTATCTCTCTCGACAATCATAAAACAAGCCAGATATCATAATAATAAATATTACTTAATAGATCGAACTCAACCGATGCAGCATTAAGCATAAAAATAAGTACAAGATCTAGGCAAGATGATGAAAACCTATAAGAGATGGTGGATACACCATATAAATTGGATTAGTAACGTAACATAACCCTATCGATCACTTCCCAACAATAAGGAACAGCCGATAACAAGTTATAAAGCGCAACCAATCTAGATTACAGCGTGTATATGATAACTCGATGGATTACATGAACATGATTAAAGTGTCATAAAGATGGAAGCATTAACCCCGAGAATGCAAGCCGCCATAACAAACTTTACCTCTAGTTGAAGATCGAATCGATGCAGCTCAACCCGAAAGCAAGAACTCGTCGAAATAAAACGAAAGTAAAAAGGGTGGTGATGCGCCGAGATTGTATTGAACTGTTGTTTTGATTACATGGTTTCGGGCTCTATTTATACCCGAGATACAACATATATCCTTGCCGGACACGACACTTATCTCTAACAAACTTTAAGATACCATAAGTCTTTGCGGCATATTTTTGCCCAAACATATCTCTATGGAATTTACATGAAATATCCTAATTAATAGATATAATTGCCTATCTGAGAGCTTTATCTCCATCGTGGCAATCCCTGTGAAGCACTTTGATCGATTCCAGAAACAGCCTTGAAACCATCTTCATCGGAATCGGCTGTATCACCTCTATCGGCTGTGTTGGCTGTCCTCTATCCAATCCATCTCAGCCGATGCAAACTCCAGTCGATGCCTTCGCAGCCGATGCATACTCTATTCTTCGAATCGATCTCTTTGTCGAATCCGCCTTAATCCCAATGTCGAACCTGATTCACAATTTACCAAATTTGGTAGTCAACAGGAGTGCCACGTGAGTACCGGGTTTAGCCTCTTCCCTCTAGCCTTGATATCCTCAGGCCCATATCACCGACACGCTGATTAGGAGCCCCTAGAAAGTCTCACAAAACCGCACTATTGATTATTTTAAGTTTGATCTATCACAATTTTAAATTCTACCATCACATCTTAAATTTATAATCTTTTATCCATCATATAAATATTACATGCATGAAATTAAAGCTTTTTAAAAGTTTGATATACGACTATGTAAAATTGGTTAACGTTGTGGTTTTCTGAAACTTTCGGACCATAATACCTGAGGTTATTTTTCACGTGTCAAAATTACTATGGTTTTTGTGCAACTTGAATGGGGTTTTATGAAATTTTACTTTTAAAAATTAAAAATAAGATCCATGGATCAATTAGAAACCAGGAAATGATCAAATGATAAGTGGCAATCCCAGCTGCAGCAGTCAATGGGCTAAACGCTTTTGGGCCTCCAAATCCAAACGGGCCTAATAGGCCCATTAGCCGACAGCCCATCAACAACAGCAAAATTAGGGAGGCAGCGGCTGGAGCAAACCTCCACTAAAACCCTAGCCTCCCCGCTGCTCCTCTCCTCCCCCCGTCCCCCGGCAATGGCGAAGACGAAGCCCATGGCGGCTGCCGCCGCCGCCGCCGCGGCGGACAAGAAGAAGGGGAAGGGCAAGAAGAAGAAGCAGGGGAAGAACGGCCCGGCTGCGGTCGCGATGAAGGCCCGCGGCGCCGCGGCGGCGGCGGCGGCGGCGGCGGCGTCGGGGAGCAACAACCCCTTCGAGGCCATCTGGTCCCGCCGCAAGTTCGACGTGCTGGGCAAGAAGCGCAAGGGGGAGGAGCGCCGCATCGGCCGCGCCCGCTCTGAGGCCATCCACAAGGTAAACAGTCAATCAATCGATCAATCAATCAGCTAGTGGAAGGGGCGGGATTTGGGATGGGTGAATCGATCGGCTGATGATTTTGGTTTTTGGCGATGTGCAGAGGGAGAACACTCTGCTCAAGGAGTTCGAGCAGAGCGCCAAGTCGTCCGTGTTCCAGGACCGGCGGATCGGGGAGAGGGACGAGACGCTGCCCGAGTTCGACAAAGTTATCCTCCGCCAGCAGCGTGAGCACATGGTACGCGTCTGCGCTGTGGATTCATGGTTGGAGATTTTCTTTTTGAGAGAGAATGCATGTTTTGCGTAGAACAGTCAACACCTGTAGCATTTCTCTGGTCAGGACAGATGAATAAACTTGATGGATTGTAGTTACTAGTAAAAATGAAGTAACCTTAGAGCTTTTTCAATGAGGAAAAATTAATTTGTTCTCCGCTTACAATTGTTCCTAGTGATATTCGCCTTGTAATGTAACCACATTGTTCTTATCTCTGGTTAGTAACTTTAGGATGATATCGTTATAAGTGTTTTCTTGTATTACTATAGTTTGTTGAGTTCCCTTTTGTAATTCTATCTAGGCAAAGCTGAAACGAGAAAGCAAATACAATCTATCTGATGATGAGGAAGATGAGGTTGATGTTCACCTGCCTCACTCTCTCTCGGGAAAAGATGATTTTGATGAAGAAGTGCCTCTTGATGATTATAGTGATGAAGAAGGTTTGTTCCATACTCTGTCTTAGTGTCTTAGCTTGGCATATAATCATCTTATTTTCTTCTTGGATTCCTGTGAATCTTCCTTTTCTGACATTCATATGGAAATTTTGGTTTCTTGAAGCTAGCGTTCTGTTTTCTGCCTCAAATGATGAATGTATTAAATATTTGTTGTGTTGTTCCTGAAAAGAAACAGTGTGCTTGTTTGGTTTGGAGCCAATTTTGCCCTACCAAATTTTGTAGTATAGAATTTGAGCTTGTGTGGGCAAAAAATGGTAGCAAACCGAACATTCATTTCATACTATTGAAGTTGTCAAAATTTCAGTAGGGCAAAAATAGGCTTCAACCCAAACTAGCCCAGTAACTATTGATGGCCTGCAAAATCCTGTCTGTTGATCATTTGTGCAATTGAGGACGTAACCCTTTTTAGGCTCAGTTTTAGTTGATACTGGCAGGTAGCGATTTTTCCCCCTTACGTGTAGAATGTAGGTATGTGTATTTTTAATGGTTCATTATCTATAAAAAGTGAGTCCTTTTTCTTGCATATACTACATATTATAATAAATAAATGGCTTACCTGTAATAGGCTCATAAACATGCACTAATTTTAGTTTTCTTTTCATCATTTTATTTGTTAACTTCACCATTGGAGAAATTAAGATGACATTATTACATGAAATTGTTTTCTTGCATCATAGTAGTCTCCAAAATGAAGTAGAGTCCCTATCCACATGAATCAACATTTATGATTAGATTTTGTTCAGCGTGCTTAATCCTCTGTAATTTTCAGGTCACATGATCCTCTCGAAGAACCGCATACCTCTCCAAAGTGGTGATGTTCCTTCAGAAATTGGTCTTCCTGAAGGAACTAATGTAAGTTTTGATAGGATGGTATTAGGATCCAAATTTAATCAGTCCGTCTCCTGTGACCTCAATTTAATTACACTTGTTGGCAGGTTCACAAGAGCAAGAAGGAAGTTATGTCAGAGATCATTTTAAAGAGCAAATTTTACAAGGTACAGCATCTTCTGTGATTAGATGCCATATGTGTTACTTTGGTACCCGTCCTTTTGTTCTTGTGTGATCATTTAGGACCTTATTTTGTTTTAATATTAAGTAGATCGATCGAACTGTCATTCTGCTGTTTTTCTGGTATATGTTGAACTATGAAACTTTACAAAAAAAATAATCTGAATTCAGTCCAGGGGCTAATATGATTTAATCCATCATACTACTTACAGTTTTTTTGCTTAGCCCTTGCTTTTTGCGAACCATTCTCGGAGATAGGCCAGTGAAACCTGGCTTTAACCTTCTATCCCTGTATTCGTCGCAAGCAATGATAAAGTATTCTTGAATGTTTCCAGTAATACTCTGTTGGTCTTATAGTATTTTGGGAATATGCACTATATCCTGTTACTTTTTGGACGTGCTCATTATTAGATCTACATTGCTAAAATCAAACAAGCTGAAATACTTGAGGAAACCCCATTAAAACACAATCGTTTTTAGCAAGTGAGGAGGCTCGCCTATGGAATTTGGTTGGGGCCAAGGGGCTATCTTTGATATGGACCCTGCTTATGTAGGCGTGTGCGTTATGATGTTGTAAGAGCCTTGTTGGGCGCTTTGGCTTTTGTTTCTTTCAGCATGTATCTGTGTCATGGATGCATCTTTTCCTCCTATTAATGCAAAGATACACAGTTCTCATGCGTATTCGAGAAAAAAAGATCTAAGTTGCTGTACATGACTAACATACGCTATACTTGCAGTATTTTTGTCTCATGTTTCCGGAATGTTATTAGTTGTGTGTGACATGAAGAGGATGAAGCTGTTTCTTAAAACACAAAATTTCTTCCTTGTGCAGGCCCAAAAGGCCAAGGAGAGGGAAGAGGATGAACATCTTGTAGACAAGTTGGATAGTGACTTTGCAATGTTAGCCCAGACACAGGCGATGTTGTCCTTGACTCGATCAGCTAGAATGGATGCAAATAAATATAATTCAAGTACAGTCCAGAAAGATTCATTTGGTTTGACTGCCAAGGAGATTTTTAATAAGGTATGTTCTTAGTGCTACGCTTCTTGCTTCTACATAAGTTGTTAATAATCACACTGTTATTCATTCAACACATGTTCTATTAGAAGAATGGGTTTGCACCCGGTCACTTGGATGCAACAGTTGGTTAAAATGGTTTTGCATGCATGTCCATGAGATGGACAAATGATTAAAATGGTTTATGTTAATGGTTAATATTGTTAGCTGTTAATATACTTTTTAAATGTTTCGTTCACCTTAAGGACCTGGATATGGTACTATGACATTATGAAGTCATTTTTCTTTGGATAAATTCATTTTGTACCTATAGATTACAGGCATTTGTCTTTGCTCCGTTTTTGTGTCAACAGACTTTCATTGTTGGCTGTGGGGAAATTCACATTGATGTATTTTTTATTGACGTTATGATGGTAAAGTCTGATCAGTATTTGTTGCCAGGAAAAACCAGATGCATATGATAAATTAGTGAAAGAAATGGTTATGGATCAACGTGCTCGTCCATCAGACAGGACAAAAACACCAGAAGAAATAGCTCAGGAGGAAAAAGAACGTCTTGAGAAGTTGGAGGTTTGTTTCATATTATTTCAGGGTTGAATGCAGTTATTGTATTCTTGTTTATTTAAAATGTCCCAGTGCCACAAATTCTCCTGGTGGATGCAATTGTCTTACCTAAAACTTCTTACATCAACTTTGTCATTGGATGCCATATATTCTTTAACAATTTATTTATGCAAACACTGGTGCACCATTTGTTTTGTGATTTAATCAAGCATCTAATTAAATTTTATACATGCAATTCTATCACATCATGGTTGTCTTTTCGTATGAAATACTGATATTGAATCTCTCTGATGCTGGTTGGTCTTCTAGAAAGAGCGTCAGAAACGAATGCTTGGAACTGCTGAGTCCTCTGATGAAGATGATGATGATGACGAGGAGGGTGACCGCAGCACGAAGCTAGACAGCTCAAAACCTATATCTGGTGATGATCTTGGTGATTCCTTTTCTACTGATGAGCCAGCAAGAAAGGAAAAGGGCTGGGTCGATGAAATTTATGAAAGAGAGGGTAAAAAGATTGGTGAAGATGCTGAAGGGTCAGACAATGAAGAATCTGATGATGATGGTGATGACGATGATGATGATGCTGAGGATGGTGATGATGATGCTGAGGATGAAGATGAAGAAGAGGATTTAAGTGATAATGACTTTGGTAATATGTCTGCTAGAGACTGGGAGCAAAGTGACGATGATGAGGTTACCGTGGAAGAAGATGAAATGGAAGGTCTCAAACAAAAGGAACAGAAGATCAGTGGCAAAGTGGTGAAAAAAGATCTACAAAATTCAAAGAAAGAGTCTAATGCAGAATCGCAAGTCAAGGATGACAATCTTCCTTTTGTGATAGAAGCACCAAGTAACTTGAAAGATCTATGCTCCTTGCTAGATGGTTGGTCAGAAACTGAAATAATTGAGATTATTAGTCGAATTCGTACATGCAATTCAATAAGGCTTGCAGCTGAAAATAGAAAGAAGATGCAAGTATGTAACTTTTTTTTTTACTGAGATCAATATCGTATTTATAGTTCTACAAATATTTACTGATTTTTTTCTTAAATATCTTACAATTCACACGGCATTTATTAAATGTATCCTCAAGTATTGTGATCTCTTTTGGCAGGTTTTCTATGGTGTTCTCCTGCAGTACTTTGCAGTATTAGCTACTCAGAGTCCAGTGAGATTCAAACTAATTGACACCCTTGTTAAGCCTTTAATTGAGATGAGTGGGGAGACTCCATATTTTGCTGCCATCTGTGCGAGGCAGCGACTTATCCACACACGTACTCGTCTATGTGAAGATATAAAGGTTTCAGGTCTGTGAGCTGAGAACTTGGACTTGGTAGGAAATTGGTTTTATTATCAATAAACTGTGTGATTTACTGTGATTGCTTTTGAATATATCTTATAGGAAAGAGCTGCTGGCCAAGTTTGAAAACATTACTTCTTCTGCGGTTATGGTCTCTTATATTTCCCTGCTCTGACTTCCGCCATGTGGTAGCAACTCCAATGCTTTTGCTTATGTGTGAATATTTGATGCGATGCCCCATACAATCTGGTCGAGATGTAGCCGTTGGTTCTTTCTTGTGTTCCATGGTGCTTGTGGTATGTTCTGTAACTCTAAATCTTGTTCCATTAAGTTCTTATATGAATGATGAAGAACTATTAGCTGAATTTCTTACTCGACATGAATTTCCTTTTTTCTCTTCTTCCAGTTCTGCATAATAATAACTCTGATTGCAGGCTACTAAAGAGTCTAAGAAATTCTGCCCTGAAGCTGTCGTTTTTCTGCAATCTCTTTTGGTAACATCTCTGGGAGGAAACCTGGGATCTGACCTACGAAAAAAGGTATTTTTTAGTTTCAGGCATTGAACTTTTTTTTTCTTTTTTTGCTCACTGCTTGATATCAAGCGACCCTTTGTATAGATCAATGATCAATTTTTGGAGCTCAAGACAATGGAACCATGGCTTCATATCCATGAAAAAGTGCACGAGGTGAATCCAGCGAATATCCTGGAAGTCATATGCATGGATTCTGATGCTCCTTATTTCTCCTCTGATAATTTCAAGTGAGGATGTGTTTTCTCTGGCATTTTGAATATTATTGGTTTACTTAACACATAATCTTACACTCGTACATTTTCTAACAGGGCTAGTGTACTTCTATCTGTGGCTGAATGTTTAAGGGGATTTGTTATTATACACGAAGAACTATGTTCGTTCCCCGAAATTTTCCTGCCAATCTCTTCTTTGATGCAAGAAATTATGGATAAATCAGACTTGCCTGGATTGTTACAATACATTTTACATGAAGTCATTGAGTTGATTAAAAACAGAAGTGATGAAGTCCATGCATCAAGGCAGCCACTCCAAATGCGAAAGCAGAAGCCTGAACCAATCAGGCAGTTGAATCCGAAATTTGAAGAGAAGTATGCATTTTTTGGTGTTCTATTCTGTGTTAACAGCATGTTGTATTCTTCTTGAAGGGTTTTCTGTTGTTCATTCTTTATTGACTCCATTTCTTCTCTTTCTGCAGTTACATTAAAGGCCTTGATTATGACCCTGATCGGGAAAGGGCACAAATGAAGAAAATGAAGAAACGCCTTAAGAGTGAGAAGAAGGGTGCAATGCGCGAACTGCGTAAAGATAATTATTTCCTGTCTGCTGTGAAAGAGAAGGAGAGGATAAAACAAGAGCAAGAGAGAGCTGAAAAGTATGGAAAAGCCATGGCTTTCCTTCAGGAGCAGGAACATGCTTTTAAATCTGGACAGCTAGGGAAGGGCAGAAAAAGGAGGCGGTAACATTTTCTCCATATTTAGTGTGTGTAAATATATTGATTATATTCCCCATGCTGTTCAGTTCACCATCTTTCTTGGGTACTGGAGATTTAGACACAGCGAATGGCCTTTGCATGCTCCATTTTAACTGCCTGTTGTAACTTCTAGCTTGTGGACACACCGAAATACAAAAGTAGATGGTCAGAACTCCCTTGTTAGCAATATGGAGACGGAGCGTCACTTGCATGAAAGCTACTTGGAAGAATGTTTTTGCAATCTCCCCAACAAAGCACCAACATGGCAATGGTTTTTTTATTTCTCTTGTATCGGGAAATGGATTGCTCTACTGTGTTATACTCCTGCAATAGCAATTTTGATGTATCACAGCCAAGAGTTTTTGATGTGTTCCCTTTCCTTTTTGCACTCGTCAGATGTACTGGAATGTAAACCAATGAAATCCTTAATGTAACATTACTTCCATTTTATAGCCATTCCTTGCCATGTTGTTCACTGTTTCTGAAATATTTGCTCATATTGCAAGGGAAGCATTGTGTTCACCAGCATTACATCTAACTCTATTGCTGTTGGTGATGATGGTGTTCTGCATCAGAAGATAAATTAGGCTGGTGCTTTAGATCTGCCCAAATGCTGACCTGCTTTGAATTGGGAATTGGGATGGCTTCCATGTGGAGAGCAACATCACCATCAGCACCTGCCTAGATCTTGATGCTTACATCTGCCTAATTGCTTATCAATCAGAGAGGCCACTTGTGTTGTGACCATCCACTTTGCCCATTATTCAGACAGTCCCACTCAATTCATGGAGAAGCTTAGGCGCATGCGCCTAATGGAGCCGCATGCATGCATACACGCACTTGCATTTTTTCTGTGTGCAAAGCATGAACAAAAGCTGCTTTACTGTTTGCTAATGTGATCATGTCCTGCTTCTGAAGGCTCTAGTTCTGACCTAAGCCTGCATTATTTGCTTTTTTTTATCAGTGCTTGCTGCTGCCTTTTTCATGACTTGCTCTCTAGATTAGATGTCACCAATCATAGCAGCAATATGTGCATCCAATCAATCATCACCAGAGCCAAAAAAGCATCACTAAGTGATGGGCAAAGTCATAGAGATCCCTAAAGGTAAGAGACATTCCAAACTAACTCTCATGCTGCCTATTTCTTGATTCCCATTTCAGCTGCTCTTTTTTTTAGCCGCTCAGCGGAGACGTCAGCGCCATGTCATCAACCGAGGAATCATGTTGACGAATAACAGCTAATGTGATTGATGACAGTGTTGCAGGTTAGTCAAGGAAGTTGATTTGCTTTTGATGCATCATTATCAGAATCAGGCTAATGTGATATTGCTTTGATGCAATATGTCTTTGTCAGCAAAGCTTCAGGTAAGAAGATAATAGCATGCTTTTGTCCACTGACTTGCATCTGCTTGCCCCACCACAGAATTTGAAGCCATTGCTGTCATGAAGATTCCAGCTTCAGGTGAGAGGTGAGCTACAATAATTTGAAAGCAATGGCCAAAATTGCTGCTTTTAAAATGAATTTTCTAAGGAGCAATATTTTTTTGTTAATCTAACATATTTCTTATAAAACAATATCTTCCACAGTTATATTTACATGATTTATCTACATATGTACAATGTGGACATGGCGAATTCGAGTATATTTACAAATGATGATGATCTATAAACAACCCCTACACTACTATTCCATTCCTGCGCCACTCCACTGGTAAGTCTTGAACAGAATGAAGGCCCTCTCTGTAACTTCCTGAATTCTTGGGCCTCTTCGTCAGCTAAGAATTTTCAGTGCGGTTTTCGGGATCGGCTCATGAGATCAGCGCATGAACATCCCGAAACTGTAGAGAGATCTCGGTCGAAACAGGTTGGCGAAGAGGAACCATGTGGGTGACTCTTTCTTCTGTGGCTCTGATGGCTCAGGCTGGCCTTTCACCTGAATGTTCTGGCCTATGGCTTGCCTGATGGAGTCTATTGTCTTCTGATCAACCGTCCCTCCTGTGGAATCGCGAACATAGAATGTGTTGACAGCCATCCTTCCTCTCGTGCTCACCTCCGCTCTTGTGACAGTCAGGCTGTTCTCGCGGAAGATTCGGGTGACCTCTGACAGGAGGCCGACCTTGTCATTTGTGCAGAGCTCAAGCTTCACACCCTGAAAACAACCAACATTCAGAAGATGTTCTCGAGTGAACACCGGTCCTGATTTCTACTTTGTTGAGACAGTAAAAGTTCATTCAGTTGTTACCTCAGACACCCTCCGTTCAATAGCAGCTTCAAGGCACTGGATGACTCGCAACCTGTCAGCTTCAGTGTGCATTGGAGATCCATTTACATGCCTCACATAGAATTCCTACAAAAGCGCCCCCAATGTCACATGTTTTCTCAAACTGAATCTCATGAAGAATGGATATGGCAAATTAGGACATGTTTGGTTCAGCATATTCACCTGGTAAGCTTGATTATCCTTGGCATCAATATTTGCATGGAAAACAACATAATGCAGGTCTGTCAAGGTGCAAACCGTGTCGAAGAGAAGCTTCGGCCGGTCCTTGCATCGGATGGTGACCACCGAGTAGTCCTTGTCATTCCAATTGCTCACCGTCACATTGGGCCTCTGGGACTGATTCGGAGGATGCCGATGGAGCTGCTCATGGTCGCCATCATCCAGCATCATCTGGTGCAGCCTCCTCTCGGTGTGCGTGCTGCAGGTCCCCGTCGACACCGCCATGGCCGCGCCGCGCGAGAGGTTGCCTCCCCGGAGAAGGTAGGACAGCCTATCCCTGATCCTCTCGAGCCTGTCGGCGTCCGTGACGGCCGATCCGGTGCCCTCATCGGTGACTCGCATCACGGCGGCAGCCCTGGTGTTATGGGTCCAGATCTCGGCGCTGACAACGTTGCACTTGAGGCTTGCAAGAACTGCACTGACTTCAGAGAGGAGGCCTGGCCGGTCAGTCCCTGTCAGCTCAATGACATTGTGATCACTCGAAGCAGCGACATCTACTGATCTCCGGCGAGAAGGTATGTATCTTGAATCTGCACCCAAAGACTGTAGATTTTCAGAAGAAAAATGCATTAGTTGTCAGTCCAATTTGGGTGATCATTCAGTAGTCATACTGAAGATTGCCAAGGATTCTTGTATACCTTACAAATGTAGTCTTCAATTCGCGCAATAGTAGCCTTATCTTTAAGCTTCTGCCCTTCTTTGTCAGTTATATTAAAGACTGAAACCAAATAGGGATTTAGTTAAAAAATAAAAAATAAAAAATGAATATGTAGGTGTAAACTAATTAGTAAACTATATGCTTTATTATTACCATCCATGACCCATCCACCATCTGAGGTTATGTACGCCTTACTTATCACAAGATTCAGATCAATCAGAACTTGGATTACTTCAAGGAGAATCCCATACTCATTTGCACTGTCTACCTATGCAATTTACCACCAAAACCGAATCAGTATCTATTCTCACTAAAGAGATGAATCAAGAATCTTCATCAAGTGGATTAGGAATATCCTGCAGATGATAGTAGGGCCATTATTCACTTAAAAAAAATAGTAGGGCCATTACCCTGACAATCGTGGCGTCGTTGCATGAATCATTATCGATCTCGATCCTACAGTTAATAAAGGAAACAAGCAGGATGAAGAATCGAGAATTAATAACATAACAGTATGAGATAGTAATCTCCCAAAATTGAGACAAGCAGGAGCAGAGGAGCACGTGAATGCACCTTGGCGGGTTCATCTTGCGTATGAAGTTGTCGTACTCGTCGTCGCTGTCCCAGGTAGGGCCATACCCTTCATCTGTCCACATGCAGCCATTAAATTTCACTACAGCTTCTGATGAACAGCAAGAAACATGCTGATTTTTCTTCTCTCTCATATTTTTTTTTCAAAAAAAAAAAGGTTAAAACTAGTATGATGAATAATATATGAAAAAAAATCAGATTTTTTATTTCTGATATGGCAATATCTGAAAGAGGGTGAGCCATAAAAAAAGGAAAATTGATAAACAAAATCAAGAACAGAGCAGAAAGAATATCCTTCCTTCCTAACACCGTTACTAAATGAAATCAAGAGGAAAGGAAGGACAAAGGTACCATAAAAAAAAAGAACCAAACTTTACATTCCAAGGACATGAACAAGAAAGCCCAACACAACAGGGAGAGAGAAAGCAGAGATGGATGGATACCCATGGACATGGCAGAGCAGGAGACCAAGAACTTGAAGCCTCTCTCTCTCCTGGATGAACGAATGCTTCTCCTGCTCCTCTCTCTATCTTTCTCTCTCTACTCTTCTTCTTCCTCCTCCTCCTGTGCTCTTATGTGTGCGGCAGTAAAAAGCGTGGGATGTGGTGGATGGCGGCGATCCTAGAGAGAAGGCAGGAGATGAGAGAGAGAGAGAGAGAGAGTAGGTGGTGGAGAAGAGAAGAATGGCCTCTTCTCTCCTCTTCTCTCTCTCCTTGTTCCCCCAAAATCTTGGCTGGGATTGGCCTACGGGTTGTTTTTCATGCCTGCGCATTTTGCACCTACGCCCCTGGGTTATTCCGGATTTGCGTGTGGACGGCTGTCCAGCTCACCAAACCACGGACAGAATCTGGAGAATTGTTTGGTTCTGAGGCTGTCCGTCTTTTGCCTGCTTCGTTCACACTGGGGGATACTAGTACCAAAAACAGTGTGCTTGGAGCGCCTATTTTTTTTCTCTAGTTTTTTTTATATTTTTTGATCCTTTTAAATAAAATTTTAAATGTAATCTTTCATGCATTTTATTTATGTAAACTTTTTTTTCTGGTCAAGACAACTTGATAGCTATGGTCGGGAAATTCTACAACGACATTGGTTCTTGGCGTGCAGTATCGTGGCTGAAAGGTCTAATTTCTTTAGCAATTGGATTGAATTGTTTCTTGTGAACTTTTTCTTTAAAAATAATAATTCTGATTCTTTTTAGTTCAAAATGGCAGAGCGCAATGAATTTTTTTTCCTATAATTAAAAAGAATAAATATGTAATTATTGCTAGTGGGTAATAATATGGCATGGTTGTATATTGAGCTTTAAAAGTTGGTGGGCATAATTTTATACTAAGATATGATATGTTGAGCTAAAAATTGCATTGGTGAACAGATGGAAGGTTGAGGGGGAAATAGGAAATGAATGTGCCCATGCAGCTGTGCACGGCGAACATGGCAAATCGGCAACATTTTTTTTTAGGCATGGCACCATTTACTTCCTTTTATGCATGTGCTACCCTTTTCATACTTTACACGTTTTGATTTTTTTTTCTTAGTCAAACTTTTAAAATTTGATTAAGATTATAGAAAAATTGAGCAAAACCTATCACAGGATTAATGTTATTAAATCTAACATTTAATATTTAATAGTATATTTGTTTTGAGTTTGTAATGTTGCAATATTTTTTTAATAAATTTGGTCAAACTTAAAACTAATTTGAAAAAAGGCAAATAATCATATAATATGAAAAGGATGGAATGTTTTTTCCCTTTTTTTGCACCCAGATGTGTCGTACGAAAAGGAAATTGCCTCGTCTCTCACTGGAGTACATCGGCCAAGGAGCAATGAGCGAGAAAGCTTACCTAAGTGGGCCACCATGTCAATGCTCTTTCAAATAATTTGGATATGTTTTCAAATATATAAATCAATGTTTAGCCTGATCCAATGGTCAATTTCGCTAGTTCCAATCCTGCTAATTTAAGCCAGTTTTCTTCTTATTATTTCAGCATATCCTCCGCAAGCAAATGAGTATAATATTCTATCGAAAACGACTTACATTAACAAATTAAATAAAATAATGTCATTACCCTAGCTAACCAAAACAAGTGGGAGGACAGAATATTTGATGACATACGTATGTTTTTTTCCTAGTAAATGGCATGTGTCGTTGACTATATCAATGCACTTGTTTTTCGTGTACAATAGTTTCAGGCACAAATATTATTCTTTTAGGGGGAAAAAATAAACTAGAGGACTACAGTGAGCATTTTCTTACCATTTGTGACAGATTAAGAAATTTTCTCGAGTCAATTAATATATGACACACATGCACAATATCCACTCCCTTCGTCCCATAAAATAGCAATCTAGATCTGGATGTGACATTTCATAGTTTAACGAACCAGGACATGCATCTGTTCATATTCGTTATCTTATAAAAATGTCTTGTCTGGTCTTAGGTTATTATATTATGGGACGGAGGGAGTAATTATGATCGGTGGGGGAGTACACTGCAAGCAATCTTTTTTAAGATGTCATGATGAATTGCAGTTAATTCCTTTATCATCTTTTGAGTAACACCTGAGTCAGAATGCAGTCAGCCATCTCTCTCACGTTCAACACCAAAATTAAGGAAGATTCAAGTGAGCTCAGCTAATTGCCGAACAAGACAAGTATCTGTATCAAAAGAGAACGAAATGATTCAGATACTTTCACTAGCTAGTCTTAATTACTAGTACATGACAAATTAAAGTTGATGACACATCGACACGACAAATTACTCTAAAAGAAAGAAAGAAAGCTTGCAAAAAAAAAACATATGACCAGCTAGCCCATTGGAGTAATCAGTCTTATCATTAGCAGCAAAAGGTTGCATCTCAATCCCTCTCTTTCCTTTTGGTACTTGCCAAGGAATATTCAGGTTGACTTTTCGACAATTTGTTTAGCAACAATGAAACAGTAGGGTAGTAATTAAGGTCGCTCGATAACAATAACATCGTTGTCTAGTGTTAATTAAGCTGTTTGGGATGGAGCCATGGAGGGAGTATATCATCTTTGCTATAATAGTTCTTCAATTTCCTTTAACTTACTATTATACCTAGGACGTACATGTGCCACTCGTATTAAAACATTTATATTTTCATCACTAATAGTCAAACCCCTGTTGACCGACGGAAACGACATCTTAATTTGAGAAACAAAAACGTCACTTAGGTAGCACATATGAAAACGTCATACTCATTACTTATAGTATAAAAATCAATAATTTCAGGATATTAGCATGCTTTTCACAATGCAGGTGCATGATCTTATATTCTTATCTGTCATTACCAAACCCACGAATATCTAGATGTGCACATCCACCGAAAGCATTTCTTTGTAACTAAGCTTAAGCAGTAATTAACTAAACAAGTGGAGGAACAACTAACTAATTAAGGATCGATACAAGCAAAATTCGACTGTATAAAGTTGAGAGTTTTGGACTGGCAGCACGTAGCATCGAAGTTTCCTGCTCAACTTCCACTTGTGATAAACTGGTGATTACGTGTACCTTGCCATGGTCAAGTCATAAAGTTCCTTTGATGGAGACCATATCACTACTACAAAATTTGTCATTAGTGTCGCTCTATCAGTGCCCGTGGATAAAATCCGGCACTGATAGAGGTATCTCGCCCATCCACACAGTCAATACCCAGTATAAATAAGATCCAACACCGATGACTACTCATCAGTGCTGATGAGTGGATTATTCATCAGTATTGTGAACCGGTACCGATGAGTAGTTATCAGTACCCGTTTTTTTATTATAAATGTTGTGCTAGGGGATAACCCGGCACATATAAGAAGTCCCGACTATCACCGATGAATCTTTTCTGTAGCAGTGTGAAATATTTATTAGGGAGATGGTCCATTAAAACGAGCAAAACTTTTTGTCGTGTGTATATGTGCCCGCGCGCACCAGTGCCACCAAGCAAACAACATAGTTGTATTTCTTAGTAGAAAATATGTATCCCTTTTAGTAGATGTCGTTTTAAATGCATACATGTAGTCAAAGCATAGTTACTTTTATACTATTACTAGATACAGCAAGGTCATAGAAACTATTTTCTAACTAAAATATGGAATCATTTAAAACGATATCTACTAAAATGGATACATATTTTCATCTAATAATTTCCATCTTTTATACTATTATTACTAGTTACAGCAAGGCCTGAAAACTAACGGAGCCATCGTTTTGTTTATTCGTGGAATAAGTGAAACGGCATATTTGCAAACGAAAAGTAATATGTGAATAAAACTTTTATATACGTGTTCTTAACGACCTAAAATTAAAGGCTAAAAAATAAACTTCGATAAAGAAACCTCAAAATTACCTCCAAATTTAAGGTTTAAAATTAAATTTTGACTGATAAGTCATAAGTATAAATATAAGCGAAAAGATAAGACCCTAATATTTTTATTCTATTATTGACATGGTGGTTTTAAGAATGCATAGATGAAGAATCTTTTCTGTCGTTACCGAGCCCACTAATTAATCTATATATTCATATTATCCACATTTAGGAATTTCTAGTTGCTTGTCCTAAAAAACCTACTCCTGACTTCCTATAAGGTGAAGTTCAAAACAGAAAGAGAAGACTAAAATACCTTTAATTAATATTATAGAATGGAGTAGTATTAGTGGATGGATAGATAAATAATGATTTGTTTTAAGATAAAGTTGAAGTTTACTTTATTTCGGAATGGAAGGAGTAAATCCTAAGCTAGTAGGAGTAAATACAATTGGAGGAAAAAGGGTACAAGCAAAATTCGACTTTAACAAGTACATTTTTGGTGCAGCACGATCGAAGTTTCGTGCCAACTTCCACATCTGATCAACTCTTTTGTCGTGTACTATGTGCTACTGAGCAAACAATATATATATTTTTCATATTTAAAAATGCACCTTTTTTAGTTTATATGGTTTTAGAACACATATATATGATCAAACCGTAAAAACTTTTACTGTTGATAATGACACATGGAAAAGATTAATTCAGTGGATCATGGAAATTTATATATATTCATGTCATTGCATATTCATTAAACAATAACTCTTCCTATCATCTAATTCTAAAAAAGTGACAGATGACGGCCATATCCAAAAACGAACAATATACTACTTTCGATTTTTAATACATAGTATCCTTGACCTTTATACATATATATTTGACTACCATTTTATCTAAAATATTTTACATAATTATTTTTACTTGATTTATCACCAATTTTAAGGCGATGACTTATATTTTTACATATTTGCACAATTTCTTTTAATAATATAAATAATTAAATATGAGTTAAAAGGTTAATGGTGGTCATTTATTAAAACTAGAAAGAGTACAAAGATGAACTACTCCCTCCGTCCCATAATATAAGGGATTTTGAGTTTTTCTTACACTATTTGACCACTCATCTTATTCAAAATATTTTAAAATTATTATTTTTTGACTTGTTTTATTATCCAAAGTACTTTAAGCACAACTTTTCGTTTTTTATATTTGCACAATTTTTTTTTTGAATAAAACGAGTGGTCTAACAGTGCAAGTAAAAACTCAAAATCTCTTATATTATGAGACGGAGGGGGTAATAGAGAATGGAGACTGGACATCATGTCACCGACTTATATATATTCCCCCCTACACTCTTGTTCATACAAACTTTTTTGATGAGTTCTTTAATTTTCTAAATGATTATCTGCCAAATATTAACATTC